GTCCTTATCCGAAGATTGACGGAAAGGGCCGAGTAGTTGCGATTGGGGTAACCGGTTCTAAATGAAGGCATAAAGAGTCGTGGATCATTTAAGTTAGACCATCCCGCATTTATTTTTAAAAATTTACTGTTTACATAACAATAGTTCAAATATTGATAGTTTGATTTAAAAACTAATAGTGTATTGGCATTATCTACGTTAACATGCCATGTGGATTATAGTGGAAACGCAATATTTACGATTTAAGAATCCCTGTGGGGTCATAACTGTTTCACACTTTCCTTAACAAAAACATCGATTCAAATGATGTGGTTTAATCAATAAATAAGAGGACCATATTCTGATGTTACTTATAACCTATGTATATGCCTGTCCCCATCTATTTAACCATATTTATATAGGAAACAAAATGAGTCATGTTATTGCATGCTTGTAATGTGATACTAATAAAGCTATTTGTTGTTGTTGTTGTTGTTGTATACAGATAATCCGAATTTAAAATCATAACATTTTAGAAAGTTCGAATGATAACGTAACCAACAGTCAACACTATTACTGTTGTTGTTGTTGTTGTTGTGGTTGTGGGCTTACGTTAAAGTTAGTTTACGACGGCAATGAGACGAAACTGGACTCAATTCCAATAAATGTCTTGCCTAGAAACAAGTATTTTCATCAATCGAGACCGTTTATATCTTCATACAGAAGATAGCAGGTCCCCCGTGTAACGTAATAACGTTACGCTTAACGTAACGTGAACGTTATAATAATAGTTTTTCCATGTTATTCACTATTGATAATTGTAATATATAAAACTAATATTCAGTTATGTTAAAGTCAATATCTAATGTATATTTTCTTAATTAGTTGATGAGGGTGGTTTTTAAAGTGAAATCAATTGATGTTACTTTGCACTCAACTGGTAATGCGTTGTTTTCAAATTATTTATTTCAATTAGGTAAGTTTCTTAATTAATTAACTTATGTACTTAAACATTAGAGTGGGTTTAATTGTTCATGACGTAATAAATCGTTATCGATTTACTAATTTAAGATATCTTTATATGAGATGATAAATCGCTTAATTTAAACATATTTTATTTCGCAAATTTAAAAGCATGTGTTATTTTTACACAATACATATGGATTGGAAAACAAGCATAATACTTGTACTAATTCCTTTACATGAATATAAAGTTCATACAGTTCACAATGCAAAAAAAAGAAATCTAAAGATAAAATCAGTTCTTTGAAAAAAAAGAAAAAGAAAACACCTAGATAAAACTTAAATTACTTCCTTAAAAAATATATATTAAGTTCACATACTTGAAAATCAAAAGAAAGAATCAATTCCTCTGAAAGGAATATATATAAAGAAAAACATATAAATCTAATTTAAGCAATGCACACTTGTGAATATAATTTTTCTGACACTTGCTAAGCGAAGCTTGGTAACGAAATATATATTTAGTTAAAATATTTGTAAATTTTATAAAAAAAATATAAGAAATAATTTTTTTTAATTATCATTTTTTCATTTATTTACGTTATTCGTAAAAATATACATGTCCATACATATACAGTACACTTACCTTCTCACTTCATATAGTTACATTTCCATCGTGGTAAAATATTTATTTACTTATATATCCACACTATTCTATTTCTAGCAAATTTCTAATTTTTTAGCGTAAAGAAATCAAATAACACTCTAACAAATGGAATAAACATCAACCAATCCACGGTTCGATATACGAAAGCATGTCAATATTCCATCAATTGTTCAAATCTAGAAATGCGCCTTTTAATAATCAGTTTTTTACTATACCCTCGTGTAATTTAATATTTGTTCCGCCTTGAGAATTTTCTCAAAATATTGAAGGTCAGCGATCACTATTGAAATCTCAATACGATACCTCTATCTTATAGTAAATATCTAACAGTGTTGACTTAAAGCGGCATGTAGGTAGATTCGTGAAAATCTATTTATAGAAATTTTAGAAATTGTGCTAATGGACGAGATGAGAGAATGCTGTCGAGTGTATGAGTAAACAAATAAAGTCATATAACTTAGCCTTAGTCACTTACTATGCACATAAATTATTTTGTACTTGCTTTATTATGTAGAAAATTCTTTAACTTGATAGTATTTTTGGGGTGATTTAATGGTAATATCACTCCTTAAAGGCCCATTATGCCCCAGAAATGCTTTTATTTTTATTTCTCAAAAGCTTTTTATTTTTGGTGTCCTGTTAAAGTTTCCCAAGAGTTACTAATTGACCAAATACCCGAATCTTAGTTTACTTCTGTTACTTTTTAGCATTATAATTAATTTTACATTAGTAAAGTTATATTGATTTAGTATTTTGTATGGAATAAACAAAATACTACTTTGAGTACATTTTGTTAATTTTATGACAATAATTTTATTTTCAGCACTTCTTTCTTCAGGTAATAAGCATATCACATGCTCTAAAACCAGTATTTAAACATTATAAGACCCATCTCTTTCCTTTCTGAAAGAAAAAAACTTATCTGAGACATATATATATTGTGCCTTCAAAGTATCAATGCATTTTCTTAAAGTTTGAAAATGCTTACTTATCGAGATCTCTAGGCGTGCCGCTTTAACGATACAAAGCTATCCCCTTATCTCGTTCAAATAACATGATAAATATTCTACTCTTTGTTTGTTTTAAAGAATAAATTGCCATTAAATGTATTTACAGGCTTAACACAAGTCGCTTTGTTTAAGGGGGGACTAATTAAACATTAATTTTGACAATATAAACTAGGTTGATCTTTGAACGAATTAACACTGTGTGATCTGGGTAGATAGAAAATGGTCCTATACTACATACCATTTAGAAGACACTTAGGACCCTGGCCTAACATAGCACTAATGACCTAAATATTGCCAGTGGCCGTGTGTATTTAGTAGGGCCGGATACGGGGCGTCCGTGGTCGAGTGGTTAAGGTCGTTGAATTTAAATCACTTGCCCCTCGCCTCTGTGGGTTCAAATTCCGACTGGGACTTTGAATTTTTTTCATGTGAGGAAGCTATCCAACTAGCTTACGAAACGTTGGTGGTTCTACACAGATACCCGATCGAACCTTAAATAATGCACGGACTTCCTCCACCAGTAAAGCTGGAAAGTCGCCATTTGACCTATACTGTGTTGGTTCGACGTAATACCCCAAAAGTGTTAAAATTTGGTACTGTAAAACAATAATGATTCAATAAGTGTTATATATACGTATAACCACCCTTATTTTTAATTTACATGTTTGATAAATATGGATAACGCTCGGTGTGCAATAACATTTTTCCAAGGAATTCAGACAGGCAACATATGCTATAGACTCTTCAATAAAATGGTTTACTAATATCATTGTGTACGTATGTAAAATGTGTATATGATAATGGAATTAAAGCACATGAGTGTGCTTTTCTATGATAAACATGATAAACTTGGGCGTAACGGTATTGAAGATGCCGTAACGGTGTTGAAAATGCCGTGGCGGTGTTAAAGATGCTGTGTCGGTGTTGAAGATGCCGTAACAGTGTTGACGATGCCGTTACGGTGTTGAAGATGCCGTAACAGTGTTGAAGATACCGTAACGGTGTTGAAGATGCCGTGACGGTGTTGAAGATACCATAACGGTGTTGAAGATGCCGTGACTGTGTTGACGATATCGTAACGGTGTTGAAGATGTCGTAAAGGTGTCGAATATGCTGAAACTGTGATGAAGATGTCGTAACGGTGTTGATGATGCCGTAACTGTGTTGACGATGTCGTAACGATGTTGAAGATGCCGTGACTGTGTTGACGATTTTGTAACGGTGTTGAAGTTTTCGTTACGGTGTTGAAGATTCCGTGGCGATGTTGGAGATGTCATGACAGTGTTGAAGATGTCGTAACGGTGTTCAAGATGCCGGTACGGTGTTGAAGGTGCCGTTAACGTGTTGAAGATGCCGTGACGATGTTGAAGATGCCGTGACTGTGTTGACGATGTCGTAACGGTGTTGAAGATGCCGTGACTGTGTTGACGATGTCGTAACGGTGTTGAAGATGCCGTGACTGTGTTGACGATTTCGTAACGGTGTTGAAGATGGCGTTACGGTGATGAAGATGCCGTGGCGATGTTGGAGATGTCATGACAGTGTTGAAGATGTCGTAACGGTGTCCAAGATGCCGTAACGGTGTTGAAGGTGCCATAACGGTGTTGTGGGTGCCGTGGCGGTGCTGAAGATGACGTGACGGTGTTGATGATACCATGACGGTGTTGAAGATGCCGTAACGATGTTGGTTTCAATACTACATAGCAACAGTTCTAGCAAGAACACTTTTAAGAATAGAAATAATGTGTCTTTGAAAAAATATGTATCAAACAATTAATTTCAAAGTTTACAGATAATAAGCGATTAAAACGCTTCTTTTGAACTTTAAACATATGCGTCTGGGATCGAACAGGTATTGAAAATAAAAATTACGGACTCATTTTAAAGCCAACATCTACTACTATATAACTACTGCTAGAGTCGATCAATGGTTTTAGTTTTAAATGTGGGGGTCTTGGACATGTAGATCTAGTTTATGTTTTTATTACTTTAAAGATTTACTTTGCTCATTGTAAAATATTTTTATTGAAATAATCATTAAAAAAATATTTACTAAATATGTGTTATGTAAATACGTAAAATTTATGAATGGGAATCTGCATATATATAATTTTAATTATATTTTTTTCTTCAGAAAGATATAAACAAAGTAAATAAATTGCTGTAATAATATTATCAATAACAAAATTATGCTATTTGTTGCTTACTTATAAATCTAATCGTTATGGACACAAAAAGATACAGAATCAAATATTCGCCCAAATACAGTTTCTTCTTTGTAAACTCTGTTATAATTTTTCTTTTTAACCTCGCAAAGTTTTTATTACAAAGCGAATAGGAACCGTTTTACGGTATTGATACGGTACAGAACGGGAAAATTTATTGAATTTACATGATCATGTGACCATACAAAATGGCAGACGGACAGTAATTTTTTTACACCAACATAGGTATGAGTATCTCTTTAATTAATCGTTTAAATTTACTGAGAACAGAAGCTCAGATGGGTGTTATTTCCATCAGACAGCTTTTTAATATTTTTTTTTGCATTTATTACACAAATTATTATTTCAGGTTTATGAACATGGGCACTGAGTACAGATGTCAGAATATTTCCTACCGTGAATTAACAGAGCTTCCAAAAGACTTGATTGACAGGACGGCAAAATATGTAGAGGAACTTGATCTAACTGGAAACAGAATCTCATATCCTTTATAACAATAATATGAAATTAGGCAAAGCCTATGAACAGGGAAGTTGTTAAAAATTCCTTTCATTTTTTTTTCCGTTTTAAAGGTGTCATTCAGTATTTCATGCACCGCTTCGGTTTTCACTCGGAACACTTTATATTTATTATTTATCCAAAAAGTTGAGATTGGTTCCGTTAACGGAATACATCGTCTTTTATCATTGAGTTACATTGTAAATGGTGGCGCCTAACTAGAACTGACACTGAAAATTTTATTGATAGGTATAGAATTCTATATATTTTTTAATTGTTTTTTATTTGATTTTCATTTTAAATATACACATGTAGTATATAGTCAGGCAAGCCAAAGCCTGGGCGGGCTTTGCGGGCCCTGACTTTGACTTCCTCGTATGAACAATTAGGCAAAATAATCTGTTTTAGGTCACCTCTCTTCTGTGAACCCTACTGTAGACATTTAATAAAAATGTAAATCAAAGCACAGAAGGCGCTGAATTTGTTTGAGTCTCAGAATGTCAGGAAGGTGAAGGTTGTGAGATTATAAACCAATTTGTTTTTTTATAGTGCCGCCAGTGCTTTCCAGTGTTTTAACTGTAGTAAATATAAGACTAATTACAAGACTGATAGTCAATTCAATGTTTATTTGACTTAAAAAAAAAATAAAATCACATCTCGATTTATAAGCGAGCGTGCAAACCCCTCGGTGAAGTTATATGTTAACGGCCTGAAGAAAACCATATTATTCTAAATTAGTGTTTGTAACTCTTATTATTTCTACGCTAAACACAGATGTAAATAATCATGGAGCTTAATGTAAGCATGTATATCTATAAAGAATGAAACAATATTAGAAATCTTCGACCATTCAGGAACTACTTTGCTTGAAAATTAATGCGCCTGTCATTTGACAATCTTTACGCAATGATCTCCCCTGAATTTTTCGGCGTTAGTACATGTACATATAAAGGGAAGTAACCGCTTAAAAAAAGTGGACTACTTTAGGCATTTGCAATTAACAGCATTAGGCTCTGAAAATTTCGCTACCATCATTTGTTTGGTCTGACGACCCAAACAAATAAAAATGAAAAAAAAAAAAAAAGGATTAATTTCAACTTTTGAAAAGCAACAATTTGGGAGTCAAAGATGAGAGTTAGGGTTAAATGTTAAGTCTTTAGTGTTGGAAGATTTAATTCTGTTGTTGATATTAGGCCTTTTTGCCCCTGTCAGAGCTTGCACTGTGTACATGTAATAGCATTGTTAGTTTTGAAATAAATAATTGTAGGAAAGAAGAGGCAGGAATGCTAGGATACTCTTGAACAACACTTCTTGTTTAGGTCAACCACTGGTAGTGATCACTACACTTATTTTGTTTTCCTTAATTATTTAAAATGATCTTAGATTTCTGATTGAGTATCAAAGTCTAAAGTCGTTGGTGTTGGACCACAATGCTGTATCATCGCACGTGAAAATTGCAGACATGCCCAATCTCCATACATTGTGGGTTAATCATAACAGAATTGACAACTTAAGTAAGTTTATTTTACACACTGTAAGTGTGAATTCAATAGTGAACTGATACTTCTCACTTTGTGACACATAATAGTGATCATAAAACAATTTATGTCAAAGGTTTAGAAAAATGGGCTGTCTTACCAGAACTAAAACCCTGGACCCATGATCTGCTACTTAACAGGTCTCCACAATTAGTGAACAGTCTGATTCTGAATTTTTTTTCTCCAAATACAGATTAATTCTAAAATTGTAAATTAACTTGGAGCATAGTATGATATACAAAATTTTATACAGTCACTCACTGTCCTATATTTGGCAAAACATGAGGAAATTATTTATCTTGTCAAGAACCCATGAATTTCTGGTATTAAAAAAAAAGGGAAGACCTTAAATCAAACTCAAACATTTAGTTTAAACATATTTAATTCCTGAATATACACATTTACATTATGTATAGTATACAATACAAATCAAACAAGTTTATATTCAAGGAAGACTAAGTCTTATAAGATTCTTCTCCTCCAAAATTTGAGAATGAAACATATATGAGCCGCGTCACAACAAAACCAACATAGTGCGTTTGCGACCAGCATGGATCCAGACCAGCCAGGATCCATGCTGTTTGCTATCAGTTTCTCTTCTTGTAACAGGGTTGATAAGCGAACAGCATGGATCCTGATCAGACTGCACGGATGCGCAGGCTGGTCTGGATCCATGCTGGTCGCAGACCCATTATGTTGGTTTTGTCATGGCACAGCTCATATGTAGTCATATATTTTATCACAATTTCAATTTTATTGCAACTTTACATACAAGACACAAAGTGACAGCATCTTTCTTTCTGTCCATCAAATTTATCTACAAGCAGATTTAAGTCAGCTGCTGTAAGACCATAGTTCTGATGGTATTTTAGGAGTGAACATTATGGTAATTTTGAAGTGAAAATTATGTTATTTTAGGAGGAAAAATAAGCTTTTTTAGGAAGAAAATTAGGCTGTAAAAACAGGGAAAATATCACTGTTATGATACAGATAATCAAAGACAACATGAAATAAAAATATCTTTCAATTCTGGTCACATCTATATGTTCAACATTTGTATAAAATAATAATAATAATAATAAACTTAATATTTTCTTACCCCTTAAAGGGACTCCACTGAGGTTTTTTGAAATGAAGGGACCAAAAATATTTTTCCGAGATTTTTGTATAACTAGATGTATGTCTGGACCAATAAATCATGTACAAAATTTCAGATCATTAGCTCACTCTGTTTCCCAGAAATAATCAATTTTATTGTGCAAATTGTCCCAATAAATGAAAATCGTTTGAACGCCTTTCACTCAAATCGGCCAAAAATCGCATAAAAATCAATTATCAATTTAATGCCGTGTATATGTATGTACACATGTATCATCTATTGCTTGGTTTCAAATTTAAATATATCAGTTGATTTCAGAAAGAATTTCAAAATGTATTATTTTAGGCTATTGGACCTCAGTGGAGTTCCTTTAACCTATGTTGAGAGTGTATCAGTGACCAGACAAATGAACAAGTCTTTATCCATGTACATGTATATTCTTGCAGAATTCTGTAAAAAATTAAAGTGATGAATTCACAATTATATACTGGTTTCTGGTAGTTATTTTAGTTAACCAAGTATATAAATAAGTTTAAGCATGTACATAAATACTCAGAAGTAATATAGATATATAAAAAATATAACATAATACTTTAATAACTGACTTTTACTGTCAGAAGTTTTTCTATCTTTGAAAAGGTCTTAATCATAAATAAATTTATTAAAATAGGGCATTGCAGTTATTTTTTATGATTCATTTTGAGCATTTTTAAGTTATAAACTCTTTTAGGTGCTTTCTTGGCTCTTTTTTGAAACAGCCTCTGGCTTAAAATGGGAAAATATTATAGCATATTTATTGGAAGTTGGAGAAGTTGAAAAAATGCCTTATTAATACACAACTTCAAAGTCTTATTCTTGTATGTGACCATTATGAATACATATTTGATATTTCTTTTAAGAAACAAGTCAAATAATTCCAGCGTTTCTTAAAAAATGAGACAGTTTGATTTTTAGCAGACTTTTATGTTAAATTCAGATGATTGGAGGCTGATCTTTAGCTTGTCTGTTTGAAGAAAAAGTCAAGCTATTGTGATCACTGTTTTAAAGAAAAAGTCAAACTATTATGATCAATGTTTTGAAGAAAATGTCAAGCTATTATGATCACTGTTTTGAAGAAAAGTCAAGCTATTATGATCACTGTTTTGAAGAAAAGTCAAGCTATTATGATCACTGTTTTGAAGAAAAAGTCAAACTATTATGATCACTGTTTTGAAGAAAAAGTCAAGCTATTATGATCACTGTTTTGAAGAAAAGTCAAGCTATTATGATCACTGTTTTGAAGAAAAGTCAAGCTATTATGATCACTGTTTTGAAGAAAAAGTCAAACTATTATGATCACTGTTTTGAAGAAAAGTCAAACTATTATGATCACTGTTTTGAAGAAAAAGTCAAGCTATTATGATCACTGTTTTGAAGAAAAAGTCAAGCTATTATGATCACTGTTTTGAAGAAAAGTCAAGCTATTATGATCACTGTTTTGAAGAAAAGTCAAACTATTATGATCACTGTTTTGAAGAAAAAGTCAAGCTATTATGATCACTGTTTTGAAGAAAATGTCAGCCATTATGATCACTGTTTTGAAGAAAAAGTCAAGCTATTATGATCACTGTTTTGAAGAAAAGTCAAGCTATTATGATCACTGTTTTGAAGAAAAAGTCAAGCTATTATGATCACTGTTTTGAAGAAAAGTCAAGCTATTATGATCACTGTTTTGAAGAAAAGTCAAGCTACAATGTATTGTGATCACTGTTTTGAAGAAAAAGTCAAGCAATTATGATCACTGTTTTGAAGAAAAAGTCAAGTTATTATAATCACTGTTTTGAAGAAAAGTCAAGCTTTTATGATCACTGTTTTGAAGAAAAAGTCAAGCAATTATGATTGCTATGGTTTTTTGTTGTCATTGCTGTTGTTGTGCAAAAACTTTAATTTTGCCCATTATTAAGCATTTCAAAATTTACCAACATGAAACTTGGAATACTTGTTATCATGACAAGATGCAGTAGTTAGACAAGGGGCATAATTCTTAAAGCAATATTTTTGGAGTTATGCCCCTTTTAACATAATAATTTTTAACAGACAAGTGCTTAGAATGATATTGTCTTTTATTTGGAAATGGGTGCTTACATTTGGTTTAAACATATTTATTTAAGCTCGATTGCGAAACAAGTTCTTGCAACTTATATTAATCACTTTCGAGTCCCCTTCCTGGAACCAACCAGTACTGGTGTCGTATGAAGAAACATGGTCGTGACCCGAGTAGGGCTCGAACCCATGATCTCTGGGTTGAGAGGCAGACACCTTAACCACTAGGCCACCGCTCCCCTTGGAAATGGGTGCTTACATTTGTCGCTGTTTATATATTTATAAGACTAAACTGCTTTGTAATCGATGTGTATTTAGTAGTACATGTTACAGGTAGCTTTTATCTGTCTTAAAGATAATTCTAAATATATTTATATTATATACATATTATATTATAATTTATATTATAAATCTAAACAGGTGTGTTTATATCAACACTGGCAAAGAAGTGTCCAAATTTAAAGTTTTTATCAATGATGAACAACAGAGCTGCACCTAGTTACTTCAATAATGGAACATTCCAACAGTATGTGGACTACAGGTGAGTTTCATGGGTACTCCAGTCCGGTTAGCTCGATAGGTAGAGTGTAAAAAAATGGAATGTGAATCTGGTGACCTAGGTTCAATTCCCAGTGCAGGTCACTTACTTTGAGATTGATCATGAAGTTCTTTCTTCTGTCATTCGCACTGAACCTCTGCTCTAGTGAAGGCAACTAGTACTGGTAAAAGGCTTGAAAGCCTGACCAGGAATAATGTGGTGCCTGAACTGAGCTCTGATAAATTCAATATAACTAATTGCTGTGATCTGGAGTGAAAACTACCAACGCCAACCAATATAACGGAGCACCCATCTGTGCCACAGTTATTCTCATTAATTAAAGGCCACATTTGTGACATAGACCCTATACTTTTAAACATGTAGAGTAAAATTTATTAAATAATAATGAGCCGCGTCATGACAAAACCAACATAGTGCGTTTGCGACCAGCATGGATCCAGAATAGCCTGCGCATCCGCGCAGTCTGATCAGGATCCATGCTGTTCGCTATCAGTTTATTTACTTGTAATAGGGTTGGTAAGCAAACAGCATGGATCCTGATCAGACTGTTGGTTTTGTCGTGACACGGCTCAATTTAATGATTTTTTTTTTATTGTTTTTAATATTTTTCAGATATTTTGTAATAAGTAGATTCCCAAAGCTTGAGGTGCTTGATGATAAAAAGATTGACAGTTCTGAGAGATCTGAGGCAGAAAGAATATACAAGCCTGTAATGTTTCTTTCTTTTACATTTTATCTTATTTAAAAAGCAGCACGCCTCTAGATTAATATTGATTTTTATAAAAAAAATGAAAATAAATTTAAAAGTAAAATATTGTGAGGTGAATAAAATTAATGAAGCAATTTACAAATTGCAATCGGCACTTAGAATACAAGAAAGTTACCAAAAAGTGGTCACCATATGCAATAACAGCCCTTACAGCGTTAGGTATGCAGTAGAAATATGGTGAGAAAATACTGCAAAATCAGTCTTAAACCTTACATAATATATAAAATAGCACTTGGATCTTGAATGTTTTTACCTTTCTTAAAAGTTTAGTACATTTTTCTCAATATTGATTTTCTTGCAATATTTTGGCTCATCTCGAGGCATGCAGCTTTAAGGGAAATAATTTTATGTAATTGAAAATTTTCATAAAATTAAAAAATGGTTGCTCCCATAATCTTACATAGAAAGTTTCGAATATTTAACATACATGGATACTGTGCTTAAGTTGAACAAATACAAAATATTATGCTGCTTTGTTAACAAAGGGATTAAACAGCTTAGCAATGATTTTGTACATGGTACTTTTGATTTTTAAGGAAATAGACACAAACATATTTATTTTATACAGGCATTTTGGAATTTAATTCCTTTTTCAAAATGCAAACAAATGGTTTGTAAACTGCAAAGAGCAAAGGTATATGCTTTAACCTATAATTACATATATCTTTGATAGTTGCCATTACTGGTGAATGAACACTCCATATACATTTACCTTTGTGCCATCTTGTTGATTAATTAACCTTTTGCAAAAAAAAAAAACCTATGTAGTGTTCAAAATGCTAAATAAATTCTAGACTCTAACATGATAACATTTTAATTTAACACATTATATTTTCACAATTTCAGGTAAAGAAAAGAGTTAAACAGAAAACATAAAACCAGCTATGTGAACTATGGGGAAATTTACCCTTACTAAAAAAAACATGGATTTTATCTGAAATTGTGACACTTTGAGCCATGACATTGACCTTATGAAGGTCAAACATCAAGGTCATCATATAATGATGAGTGATTAACTAAGGATGTGCAATTAACTACATTTATGATATTAATCTTATTGCTTGATCAGCAAAAAAAAAGTATTTATGCTGTTGAGATATGTTTTATCTGTCATTTTCAAATACATGTTATACTTAATTTTTGTCAGTGAGATATATTCAATATCATTCATTGTAGTGAGGATGTAACTGAACATAAAAAAATATTTCACTTTAGTGTCAAAAATTTATTTTATATTTTACTGTTTTTTGTGGAATGCTTGAAAAAAATTGTTTTGCTTTGATTTAGTAAGTACCTATATTTATTTCCTTCAATGAAATGATTTTTTATAGGTAATAATTTTTTCAAAATTTTGTTAAGTGGCACACTTCCATATCTTCAAAAAATAAAACTAAACAAAAAAATAATTATAGTATAAGAAATGTATGGGAATTCACAATAATAAATATAAATGTATTGTGTATTGGCAATATCAAATCATTTTATTATCTACATTTGATAAAATTTTCAACAATTTTTAAGTTTAAAAAAAAAAAATCAATAATTTTGAGACAAGCTTCCTACAAATTATATTATTTCGCCAGCTATTGGATTCATATAGAAATTAATTAAGTTCAATTGATGAGGAGGCTCATAAGTGTAAAAATCAACTTTTGAATACATTCCAGGAACCAAACAGTACTAATCAATCAATACTTTTGAATTCATTCCTGTTACCAACCAGTTCTAAGCAATACATGTACTTTTAAATCCATATCTGGAACAAACCAGTAGTGAGCGATGAATGTAAAGTTTCTTGCTCAAGGAAACAACAGCTTGCTCCTGATGGGGTTTGAACCCATGCAGCCAACAATCCTTAGGTTACTAGTCAGTGATTTAAGATGGTTTACAACTGTGTGCCACCACATTTAAACATACACGTATAATGTCATGGACCAGAACAGTTAACTATTTAGGGGAGATAATGTGTAAGCTGCCAGATAGTTCAGTTGATAGAGTTGGGAATTCCGAGGGTCCCAGGTTCGAGTCTTGGTCAGGCTGCGCATTTGTTTTACCCTGTGACATTTATATATAAATTTGATATATGTTGAACACGTTTTATGTTTCTCTGAATATGACATAATTGATTTATGTGCTAAGTGTGCCTGTGACATATATATGTCGTGTAAAATAATAAATGCGTACAGTGTACATGACACATCTTATGTATGTAGATTGTTCTTATATGACATGTCAATTGTTTAAATGACAGTTTTAGAGCTTTAAAAAAGTCACGTAATTAAATATAATTATTCACTTTTGATCTTATCATGAATGTCCAATATTGATTTAAGTTTAATCTTGTAATATTTGTTTGATGTAAACTGATATTGTTACGGTCTAGTGGGTCGGAGACTCTTAATTAAAACACCGTTGACAATAATAGATTCTCTTCTTGATGAAAGTATCAATATGAATTATGATTAACAAATATTGACCTAATCTTAAAGGTCAAAATATAAAATTATTGATTTAAGGCTGATCTTGTAATATTGATTTAAACTGTTATTATACTTTTTATATGACATTTGTTGTGTTCAAATTACAGTATGAGATTCTATTCTTGATAAATAGTTAATTTTACCAATAGTCAAATTATATTAACTAATATTGGTCAGATCATTATATTGATTAAAGGCCCAACTGGACTATAAAAGCCAGCAGATGGTGCTAGGGCAGGTTTCTGATTAATTTTATGCATGCTTCACTTCAGGGACCCTTTTTCAAAGATTTAAGATTAATTACCAAATGCATTAAAACAACACTTGGCATGTTTGTAGGCATAGATATTTTTGATAAAGATTGACCAAAATTATTCAAAATATAACTTTGTTAAGTGTATTTCTGGAAAAAAATACTTGCTGTCAAATTTGAAATTTGAATTTCCCTGGGAGGAGCCATGTGATCATTACAGGTAGTAAACAGAAGCACGTGGCAGTGTTTATTTCAGGGAGAGAGATTTGTAGCAGACGACACATTGGAATGCTGAATAAAACAATAACTTTTACTGACATGCTTTATCAAATCCAACAAATTTACAATAATCCATTAATCTATGATTTTTATATAAATTTCAAAGTACTGATTTTACTTGTATTTGAATGGTTTAAACTTCATGAAAACAGTAAAAGTAACTTCCAGGTATATTTCATTTACACTATATTTTGTTGTAAATATCTTGTAGTCAAAAATTACATTTCAGAAATGTTAATTAAACTAAATGTTGCATATGCATAAAAATTTTATACATTAACAGTTTAAAAATATTTTAAATTCCTGTCAAGAACATTTTTAGCAGGTTGTTCCTAAAAGAAATGCCCCATGTAAGGCACATCTTTTGGGTTTTAATATAACAGCATTCCAGTGAAAAAAAGAAGAAAAACAACTGACTTCAAAAATAATATCTGGACAAGATGACTTGACAATGTCTTTAATTAATCTGTGAGTTATATAAAACATCCATTAAACCTCTCCTGTGTATGTTTACATTCTCTCTGCAGGTTAACACTGCACGCTATTTATAGTTCAGGGTTTATAACAGACAGTTTTACATCACTGATTAGTCACACCTACAAATACTCGCTGCCGCGGCAGCGAATGTTGCCCCTTTAAGTTTTATAATGATTTAAACTTGTCTGCTATTACAGTTTTTATATGGCATTTTGAAGCGTTAAAATTACAGTATAAGATTCAATTCATAAATAGTTACCAATAGTTAAATATAATTAACTTATATTGGTCTGATCATAAATTTTTAATACTGGTTAAGTTTTATAATTATTTAAATTGATATTATAGTTTTTGTATGAAGCATTAATATTATGACAGTTGTAGATTTTATTCTTGATAAAAAGTTAGCAATAGTTAAATATGATTAAGTAATATTAGTCTGATCATAAATATTTAATATTGATTAAGTTTTTAAATGATTTAAGCTGATATGATAGTTTTCATCTGACATTTGTGTTTCAGTATTAGATTATGAAAAAATCCAATATTTAGGTAATAATAAACATTTAATATTGATTTAATTATCAGTCATCCAATATTGATAATCATATAAGTATAATCATGTAAAATTGATTTATATGTTTCATGTTATAGGATCATAAAATATGTACATTTAGATCTATATAAATTAATGCCATAAATGTGTTTTGAATTTTTCAAAAATCTCCACTGTACTTGTATTCTCTAATGTTGATTAGGTTACTAGCAAGGTAACAAAGTTTTGTTGTATTATTCTATATCTTAATAGTTGAATAAGAGTTGTTGCCCTTGATTTTTTTCCTATATTGAAAAAAAGTAGATTTTTTGTTTTGATATGTCTGAAACATAATTTTCAGGTTTCATTGAAATTTTACATTATTACCAATTTTCAATTGTTTTAATATCTATTAATACATGATATAAATGTTGTTCACTAAGACATATTTTGTCAGAGTTGTGGCTCCTATATTTTGGTTTCCAAATCGGTCTAGTGACTTGTATAGCACTGAATTAATGACATTTCTCATGTTTGTGAAATTATCTTATACATACAATGTTCTTAGTACATAAACCATGGTGCAGGAGTGTAATAAACCCCATATTACACCTTTGCTGTGTCATTTGCACTATTCAAACATAGTGTTGTAGGGCACCAATGCTAGCGTTACACTATAGGTCCAGTGTAAACCTTTCTTATCTTATATATGTGATAAATAGAATATTACATTCCTGTACATTCAATACTAAATTTATTGAACTTGTTGAATAAAACAATATTATGCTTACTTGAGGCTTGATAATATGATTTTATTCAACTTGTTAAGTTTATTATATATAAAAACTGCACTCATTCAATATCCTCTATTTATTTACATGTGACTGTACCTTTCGATTAATATTTAAATCCATAAATTCAAGAACCCACAAAAATGTTTGTTTAGACATATCATTAAATTACATTAATTACATTTTTAAATTGAAATTGGAGTTGATTTCTATATTCAAACTTAGACTTAACCATGACATTTTATGCTTTTCAACATGATGTTTTATGTCTATATCTTCAACATTTTTTTTTCATTTAATGTATCCTTTTGCTTACTGTTAAAGCTGCATGCCTCCATATTTCAAGACAATTAAACATGAGATAAAAGTACTTAGATTTTAAAGATATATTAAGCTCATTTTTGAGTATAATAATTTTATCATAAAAAGTTATTTCACAATCTTTGAAATTCTTACTGGATCTTTGAATAAAGAATGAATAAATTATGCATGGGAAGTTGCATTTCTTATTACAAGTTAAGTAAAGTTGGTTCTTTCTTAAAAAAAACTGACAATTTTTGTTAAAATCTATTTAATTATAATATAATATTGTGGTCAGCTGTAGAGTGTAGAGTTTAAAACATAACATAACTACTTTGTGTGAAGTCGTAATACAAAGAAACATTATAGCAATTTTCAATATTTTCAAATATCAAATTTGAGCATAAAATATCCTTAAGAAAAGTAAAAAGATTCAAGATTTAAGTTATAATGTACATGCTTTATGTGATTGATGACTGATTTTGCAGTATTTATCACCATATTTTTACTGCATGACTAACACAGTAAGGACTTAATGTGCATATTTTGACCTCTTTATGGTAATTTGCATGAATTGTAAATGTTGTTTGCAATGTATAAAGTACTGTCTTTGTTCACCACACAATATTTTACTGTTAAATACATTTTTGAAATTTTCATGAAAATTACCATAAATATGGAGGCAAACTGCTTTAAAGCCAGTTGACAATATATTTTTTTTAAATGCTATTGTGAGATCTTCTGTCTGACTAATGATTTGATTACTGAATTGATTTTATTTTTATACAATATGTCTTTACAAAGTTATATATGTATCTTGTAATTGTTATAATTATAGATTTGGTTATAGAAGTAACTGTTGTTAAAGCCACATAATGCCTCAGAAACAAATAAATTTTCAATTCTTTATAAATGGGTAACCTAGCTTTAGTTTTAAAACGTTTAAATAACTTTTAAGAGCATGTTAGATGCTTATAACACGAACATAGTAGCGCAAAATGTGAAATTATTTGCCATAAAAGTAGCACAATGTAAACAAAGTAGGTATTTTGACTTCTATACAAAATACAAATTCACTAAAACTGAACTAATTACCCAAAAAGCAAAAGATGAAAAAGATGATTCAGATAATTGCCAAATCAGTTACTTTTTGGAAATATAAAAGCACACCAATATAATAAAAGG